GCGGCTGGACGGGCTGGTGAAGAAGGACAAGGTGGTGGTCTTCCTCAAGGGGACGCCGGAGCGGCCCCAGTGCGGCTTCAGCAACGCCGTGGTGCAGATCCTGCGGCTGCACGGCGTCCGCGACTACGCGGCCTACAACGTGCTGGACGACCCCGAGCTGCGGCAAGGTCAGCCCGCCGCGGGGAGGCCGACGGCCGACGGCTGAGGGCGCCGCGGGAGGCCGGGGCCGGTGGGCCGGACTCGGGGTTTCGGGGGCCTGTGATTGGGGCCCGGTGAGCCCCTGCCCGTCTGGGGTGCCAGCGGTGGAGGATCTTAACGGACTGCAGCATCTTGGCGGGGAGGGACCCACGGGGCCCCGTTCCCATGGCCAGCTCGGGCCGAGGCGTCCCTCGACCCTCACTTTGTGGCGCGTTTGTCTCTGACAGCGTCCGAGAAACGTGATCAGTAGCATGAGTCCCCCGCCTTTTGGGCTGCCCAAGTGTGGCAGAGAGGGTGCCCCAAGACTTGGAGGGCTTCTGCGGATGGGGGACCGGGCTGCGGTGGGGGCTGCCCTGGTCCGAGGCACTGAGGTCTGAGGCTGGCCGTGGGATCCCGGGCTCCGAGGACCTGGGGCCCGTTCAGCTTACAGACACATGGCAGGGGTCGACGGTGATTCCCAGCGGGACTTATTTGGGGTCGGGTTGGAGGAGCAGGGGGACGGGGAAGGACGTTGTTTAGTTTGGGATCCTCAAGCGCTGGGAGCCACGAGACCGGGGCCTGGGGCTTGGGCTGGGGAGAGGAAGCTACAAGGATTTCTGCCCCACCAGCTAACAAACTGCCATCTAGTACAGATCTCCAAGAGTAGCTGGCCCCTGTGTCCTCCCACTGTCCTGGGGGGAGCAGAGAGGGCCCTGGCAGCTAAGTAGCAACTTTCCTGCAATGTGTGAAGCATTGCAATGTGTCAAAGGCACTGGGACCCACCGGGCTTCTTGGTCTGGGTTGTTTGGGGATAGGTGGAGAAGTGGGGAGACTGCACCCTTTCCCCCTGCATTGGCCTGGGGTGGGGAACTGGCCCGCACATATCCCTGGTGTCCAGGGCTCCTGTTGGGTCACAGTGTGCTGGAGAGAAAGACTTGAGTGTCGGGATTTACTGTTCTCCATGCCTGACCATAGTGCATATCGCTGGCATTGTTGAGGCAGGCTCCTGTTAATAAGGAAAGCAAATTTGAGTGAGAATCCCCTGTGGCCAGCCCCTGACACACCCTTGGACAAATCTTCTAACCGCATTTTTCTTAACAGTAAAGTCAAAATGATGAAAAGCAACTTGGAGAAGAGACAGTAAGAGTCATAGAGAGCTTAGCAATCCCTTGGCAATGGTGGCTCCCACCTTTGTGGTAGTTTTGGTGGGTGGAATCCAAGAGGCAAGTGTGGCAGAGTGAAAGCCACTCAGACTGCTTGTAGGTTTTACCATATTACCCTGTGTTATGCTCATGGTCCTGGGCCTCCCTGATCAACCAGAAGTCCGCTGTTTGCTAGGCGCAGGCTTATCGCCCACAGGGGTCCTGCCCTTCAGAGGCAGCTTTTGGCTTCAGAGATAAGCGTCTGCTTGTGTAGCCCTCACCAGAAAGTTGTGTCATTGATACCTTGCTTAATATGATGTTTTGAGAGTCTTTGGCTTGTGAATTTACATTCTCCTGTTTAGTATAAGTGGAAATGAGCTATATTAAAATATGGCTAATAAACTGAAAATGAATGGAAGTAAGGATGAATACTGATAGCAAGAATCTTCCTGTTCTCTCTCTTACATATTTGAGTTTTGATCTCAAAACCTATGTGTTCACATAACAGTGGAAAGAACCTGTTTCTTAACTTGAAGATTTCACTGGATTGTCATTTTGGTTAATAAGTGTGTTGAATAAATAATTAGATATGTCAGACATAGTGATTCACACCTGTGATCCTAGCTACCCAGAAGGCTAAGATCTGAGCATCAGTTTGAAAAGTCTATGAAACTTTTATCTACAATCAATCACCAGAAGGCTGGAAGTGGAGCTCTGGCCCAATTGGTAAAGTACCAACCTTGAACAAAAAAGCTAAGGACAACACCCAGGCTCTGAATTCAGGCCCCCCATACACACACACACACACACACACACACACACACACACACACACACACACACATGAGTAATAATAATAATAATTGAATCTAACCTGTCTTTTGTGGCTTGGAAGATTGTCAGTTAGTGGCATGTGCTAAGTCAGCCTGGAGCGAGGTGATGTAAGCCTTTCCCACTTGGGGGCCTCCCTTATTGGGACAGGTTAGGACCTGACCACAGGAGGACCTGACCGCACTCCCGTGAACCGCACTCTTGCTGAGAGAGGCTGCCAGCCTGCTAGGCTGCTCCAGCTGCGAGGCTGTCTCACCTTCCCCTCCTGCATGGTCACTGGGACCCGCAGCCAGGCTCCTGCAGAGACAGCCTGATGTGGCAGAGGGCCCAGCCCCTGGGACCACGCTGTCTCCTGGGTCTGGGAAACGTGAAGCAGCCTTGTCTGTTCAGAGCTCAGTGCTGCCTCACAGCCACCTTTGTTTCTGGGCTGCAGTCTCCAGACCTGTTAGTGCACACTTAGCCTTTGCCCTACAGAGAACCAGGAATGTGTACTTACGCAACCAGCCCGCTGAAGTCTGCTTCTGCAAAGCAGGCCTTCAGTGGCTGTGGCAGCAGGGAGGCAAAGGCTGCTCTTACGGCACAGTTTACTGTGTGTGCGCTGCGCTGTGTGTGGCCCCTTACCTAGGAGCTTGCAGAAACCCTCTACTAGCTGCTGATCATTGTTATCTTTCCAATTGTAGAGTATCGGAAGCTGTTCCTCATAGCCAGCTCTTCCCTGTACCTGCCCACTGGCCTCTTCATATTCAAAGCACCATTCATATATTCTTTTGTGTCTGACTGTCTGGCTCTCTCTCCCCTCTCATATTTCAGTACATGGCCTTGTGCTCTCCCTTAGCCTTTTTATTCCAGGCTGGCTGGTGCTCCACCACTTGAGCCAGCCTCCATTTCTAGCTTTTTTGCTGAATAATGAGAGATAAGGGTCTGACAGACCGCTGCCTGAGCTGGTTTTGAACTATGATCTCAGGTCTCAGCCTCCCGAGTAGTTAGGGTTTTAGGTGTGAGTCACCAGTCACCAGTGCTGGGCGAATATTAAGAATTGGAAATAAGCTGAGCCTCCTGAGCATCAGGGGCGTTCATGCAGCGTAGCCTGCCGCGAGCGCTGACGGCGGCCGAGCCTCTGTGCCTGCCTGGTGGATCGCCATGCTGTCTGTGAGAATGAAACGGCACCTGTACTTGGTTGGGGCCGAGGCTGTTGTTGCCCTCTTTCCTGGAACTTGGCTAAGAACGGAGCAGGCAGGCTTCCTCTGGAGGGCAGGGAGGAAATCCCTCAGCCTGGGTGGGCTCTGAGACCCCCTCCATCGATTCCGTTCTCTTGTCGGGTAAAAGCACTCTTAGATGTCTGAGCATGCTGAGATCCAATAAAATTTTGTTTACAAAAGTAGGAAGAGGAAGTGGAGCTGTGGCTCAAGTGGTAGAACACTAACCCTGAGTGAAAAAACTCAGGGACCACACCCAGGTCCTGAGTTCAGGCCCCAGGACAAGCACATCAAAAAACACAACACGACTGAGAAGGTGGCTCAGTGGCAGAGTGCTTACCTCACGAGCATGAGGCCTTGGGTTCGATTCCTCAGCACCCCATAAGCAGAAAAAGCCGGAAGTGGCGCTGTGGCTCAAGTGGTAGAGCGCTAGCCTTGAGCTGAAGAGCTGAGGGACAGCGCCCAGACCCAGAGTTCAGGCCCCACAACTGACAAAAAAACAAAAAAACCACCCTGTGTGAAAACCTGAGCTCCCCCGGTGGTGTCCGATGATCGCACCCTAGCCCGAGCTGCCCTGCATTCTGTCCCCATGCTGCCCGCTTCACCTGTTCCTCCACAAAGCTCCTCTGTGGAGTGGGGTAGAGATGTTGGCACTGAGAGAGCGGCCGCCCGGCCCTAGCCCTGTGCTGGCGGCTTTCGGGGAGCAGTAACTCTGTGAGAGGATGCTAGTCCCCTTTTGCCAACAAGAAGACTGAGGCTCGCGGTTTGGCTGCCCTGCAGGGGGCAGTTTATTTTGAGGTTCAGTGTGTTTCACCAATGTAGATCCTCATCAAAAGCAACGGGGAAAAATCTGTTGGGAAAGATTGAAAAGGCCGCTTTTACATCACACACATGAATGGTTTCTCTGTGTAAAAAGGTATGTAAGGAAGCTTAGGAGAATTAAAGGGCGCTCCTGATAACTTAGATGCTTAATCATCCCAGGAGAGAGCCTTGCTGCCCGCATTGTCGAAAAGGAAGTTCCCACGGGCTGTATTTGAGCGCAGAGTTAAAAATGAGGACAAACCCAAGCCAGGCAGCTTCCGTGCTGGCCTGCTTTTACTAGGATGACAGACTTGACTCTGGGTGCCTACTTACTTAGTCCTGTAAATACACCCCCAGGGATTAGAAGTTCTTGAATATCTAGCTGATTGATGATCCCATTGGGGATCTTTTTTATTTTTTGCTGGACAGGGCTCTGTGCAGCCCGAGGCTGCCCAAGAACTCACAGTTCCCCTGCTTGCTAGAGGACTACAGGTGTGAGCTACCACGCCCAGCTCGTGGCCACTTGGTTCTGGCTGGGTTGTGATGTCTAGAGAAGTTAAAGCCTGTGACTCCTGGCTTTCTCTAGCTCTGTTATTTAAGCAAAGTGCACATTCACATGAAGTGGTTGTTCAAGGAGGGGTTCATTGTGTATGTCCATTCATCATCTGTTCCCCTTCCCTCCCCCACGCCCCTTTCTTTCTCCCAGTGCCAGTACTGGGGCTTGAACTCAGGGCCTGGGTGCGTCCCTGAACTTTTTCACTCAAGGCTGGTGTTCTACCACTTGAGCCACAGCTCCACGTCTGGTTTTTTCCTTGTTAATTGGAGATAGGGGTCTCACGGACTTTCTTGCCTGGGCTGGCTTTGAACCTTGGTCTTCAGGTCTCAGCCTTCTGAGCAGCTAGGATGCCAGGTGTGAGCCACCAGCGCCCAGCTCTGCACCACGTCTCCTAAAAAGCCTCCAGAGGTGGAAGTGGGCGGGCTTGGAGAGAGGGTGGCCTGTCCAGGGCTTCCCGTGTGGTCCCTTGATAGTGAGATGCCACCTGTGGTGGGGGTGGAGGCAAGGGGGAGGCTGGGGCTTCTGGGTGCGGGCAGGGGTGAGCACCACGGCTGGTCATTTGCGTAATGCTCCACTGTCCCTCCACAGGCATTAAAGATTACTCCAACTGGCCCACCATCCCACAAGTGTACCTCAACGGCGAGTTTGTGGGGGGCTGCGACATTCTTCTGCAGATGCACCAGAACGGGGACCTGGTGGAAGAGCTGAAAAAGCTGGGGATCCGCTCTGCCCTCCTTGACGAGAAGGACCAGGACTCCAAGTGAGACACCGCGGGCCTGCGGGGCAGAGACCCACTGCCTTTTGGAAGAGCCTTACCACGCCGCGTGCCACAGCCGCCCGCCCGCCTGCCTGGCCGTTGCCCGCCACAAGCAGGCCAACTTGGCATGTGCTCTTGGCGTGAGATTGTCCCGTTGTGACCTTCACGACCCCACGCTGTAACAATTCATGTGTGGACACAATTCTTTCTGGCGTTGTCTTCTTCGTGGCCCGTCTGAAGTGTGTTAGTCACTTGGCAAAGATGCTGTAGCCTCTCCCCGCCCCCCCCAATTGTTTTTGTAACTTCTTCTATGCAGAAAAATGATGGACAAAGAAGAGAATGTGGTAGCTGGGGTGTCCTTTTTAAAAATAAACTGCCAGCTCAGCGAATGGCGTGTGAATGGTTGATCTGCTTAGGGGTGACTAGCATTGGCTCTCCTACTCGACCACTAAAATTGCCATGAGAATTGCAGGAGGCTGCACTCTGCTTCTCCGGGAGACAGGTGTGAGGGCGTGGCGGAGGGTGTGTCCTCCGGCCAGGTGGAGGTGGGCAAGGCCAGAGGAGGATGCCCAGCTGCTGGCTCAGGTGGATGAAGGCTTGGCCTGGTCACTGAGGTGTGGTATTTTTGGTTTTGTTTCTCTGACGGTATTAGGATTGAGCCCAGGGTCTTGCACATGCAAGGCGAGTTCTACACTGAGATGCATCCCCAGCAGAGTTCACACTGGGTTTTTCTTCGTTTCCTGTCACTTGAACTCAGGGCCTGTGCACTGTCCCTGAACTCTTTTGCTCAGGACTAGCACGCTATCACCTTGAGCCACAGCTCCACTACTGGTTTTCTGGTAATTAATTGAAGATAAGAGTCTCATGGACTTTCATGCCTAGGCTGGTTTTGAACTGTGATCCTCAGATCTCAGCCTCCTGAGTACCTAGGGTTACAGGGCTGAGCCACCAGCATCCAACTGCACTGATTTTTGAGTCAGGGTCTCACTTTTTATTCCAGGATGGCTAGGAAATCCCTGTGTAGCCCAGGCTTGCCTTGGACTGAAGCCTTAGCTTCCCAAGCTCAGCCACTACGGTGTCTTGTAAGACTTCTACAGGGCTTCTCCCTCCCAGTGTGAAGAGCCAGTGGGAGGGCTTCACAGTGACCCACGGGAAGGAAGTCCCTCCTGTCCCAGGTGTATCCCTCTGCAGGAAGCTCTCTGTCATCCATAGGGGCCAGATAGCATGCTTAGACCTGTATCCCTAGCTGAGCACCAGTGGCTCGTGCCTGTAATCCTAGCTACTCAAGAGGTTGAGATCCACAGATCATGGTTTGGAGCCAGTCCAAGAGACTCATCTGAAGTAAACCAGCAAAATGCAGAAGCTAAAGTGTGACTCTAGTGATAGAGTTCCAGCTTTGAGCGAAAAAGCTAAGCCAGTGTGTGAGGCCATGAGTTCAAGCCCTAATACTGCCACAAGAAAAGGAGATGCCTCCTTAGGGCTGCAGGGGCAGGAGAAAGGCCACCTTCACATGATGACCACTTCCTTGAAGCCTTCTTGAGCTCCATTTCCTTCCCAAGAGGCCCAGAGCTGCTCCCTCGGCTGTCACCCTCCCCCAGAGGTAGGATTCAAAAGGAAGGAAGTAGAGCTGCACTCTACAGAGACCAAGGGCTGGCTGTCACTGGCTGTCAGCTTATAGCTGCGTGGAGAGCAGCTCCTGCCAAAGTAAAGGTTTTCAGCGCATGAACTGCACTCCCGGCCTGCTTGTGTAGGCCAAGCCTGCACAGGCTCCTGTAGGAAGGAGGCTGTGCTGTCAGCCAAGGGGTCCCGTGTGTCCAGCACAGGGTCTAGGAGCTGGGCGGGCATCTGGCAGTGTGGCAGAAGGGGAGACATTTTCTGGGCGGTTCTGTGAGTCAAGTGTAGTAGAACTGAGGTCAGGTCATGCGTGGGTGTGACCAGCTGGCTTGGAAGCCCCTTCCCTAGCTTCGGTGGAAGAACCCCCCCAGTTTCCTTCACCTGTCCTCCCCCATCCACCTCTGTGATGCCTGGTGCATAGCCAACCCCTCTCTCCCTCCAAAGCCATGCAAACTCTGATTTGCCTCCTGCTCTTTCTCTGATCATCCGGCAGGGGGCGTGGCTGTGGTGGCCAGCGTGCAGGGCAGCTTTCCTTCCTAGGGGTTGGTCAGGTGGTGCTAGGTGCTCACAGCAGAGAGCAGTTCCCAGCCGTCCCAGCCCCTCCTGTGCTTGGGCACAATAACCGTGCTAGCCTGGACGACAGGTGCCTGGCAAGAACAAGGCCATCGCGAGCCACCCGTTTCTGCTGCATGGGGCAGTCAGTCATTCTGCTGCCTGCAGTATTCACCTCCAGGGTTTGCTTTTATGTGCTACTCCTGGGGCTTGAACTCAGGGCCTGGGTGCTGTCCTTTGGATGTTTTTGCTCAAGGCTAAAGCTCCAATTCCAGCTTTTTGGTGGTTAACTGGAGATTATAGTGGCATGAACTTCCTGCCCAGCTTTAAACTTTGACCTTTACACCTCAGCCTTCTGAGTAGTAAGGATCACCGGTGTGAGTCAGCAGCAGTTGGCTGTTTTTCTTTCCTGTCATTACTGGGGCTTGAACTCAGGCTCTTGTTTCTCCAGTGGCCTTTTAGGTTTTGCTTAAGACTAGCACTCTGTCACTTGAGCCACATGAACCTCATGAATTTTCCTGCCTGGGCTATCTTTGAACCAGGATTGTCAGATCTCAGCCTCCTTAGTAGCTAGGATTACAGGCATAAGCCACCAGTGCTCAGCACTTGCAGGGTTTAAAGAGAACCCAGATACGTCTACCTCTATTAGCTGGGAATTTGTCTCTGACACTAAATGACCACATGTAGTGCATTTGACAGTCATCGAAGTGGAGTATCTCAGTTGCTTTAGGGGACAAGAGAGTGTTCAGCCAGAAAGATTACTGTAAATGATTTTCCTAAGGTTACAGTTTGACTTACTGCCAGTAACTGACTCCCTCCCCCCACTTTGGGATTGAACATGAGGCCTCATGCTTGCAAGGCAAGCACCCTACCACTTCAGCTTTACCCTAGGCTTTTGTTTTTTGCCAGTCCTGGGGCTTGAACTCAGGCCTGGGCACTGTCCCTGAGCTTCTTTTGCTCAATGCAAGCATTCTACCACAAGCCTCATTCCCAGCCCCCTAGGTTTGTTTTGCAAATACACTTGCATGTCAGACTGTGATCCTCCTACTTCTGCCTCCTAAGTAGCTGGGATTACAGGTATGTAACACTAAGCGTGGCCCTTTCTTCCACTATTACTAGTTTTTGACTATGCTATTTTGTACTGTAAAGTGTCTTCTAACTATGATAGGGTTTTATCATGTGGAGGTACACTTGAAAGAGCACAGGGTAAGCTTGTGTTAATTTGAATTTATCAGTAGTAAGGATTATGATATTATGTTGATAATAATTAGCAGGGATGCTTTTTGCCAGATAAAGGAGGGAGAAGTGTCATAAGGAATTTGCTGATGAAATACAGGATCATTCATATGTGCTCCATCACTATCCTGAGAAAGTGACCAGCTGTGTGTGTGTGTGTGTGTGTGTGTGTGTGTGTGTGTGTGTGTGTGTGCTCATGCACTACTACTATTGGAGCTCGAAATCAAGGCCTTCTGGTCTCTTGGTGCCACCAGGCGCTCATGACCCAGGGGAAGCCACGCAGGCCTGCGTGCAGACTGTGTTCAGAACTGCCGAGAGTGGAAGTCACCGGGGCTGCAGAGGAGCCCCAGCCCCACGAGGCTGCACCTGCACTTCCGGTCCCCCCATAGCCACTGCCTGGCCTGCTGTCCTGAGTGCTGACCCTTGCTCCCTGCCAGGGCTCATCCACAGTCCTTAGCCCTTTCCTTTGTCACAATTGGTCCTCTGTCCCCTTCTGCCTATTGGCAATGTAGCCAAAGTGGCATTTTTATAGCTTCCCCCCCTTGAATTTTAAGCTAGTTTATTTTTCTTCCCATAACACCTACCCGTGATTGGTCACGTGGTACTTATAAACTAAGCTTGGAAATGAGCAGTCTCCCGGTTTTCTCCTTTCTACCCAGGCCCACTCCAGCAGCTGCCCATGTCTGTTTCTAAGCTGCTGCTTCTGACGTTTACTTCGGTGGGTTTTGTTTTATACTGGTACTTGGGCTTGAACTCAGGGCCTCTTGAGTTCACTCTGCTTTTTACACTCAAGGCTAGCACTTGAGCCATGCCCCCACTTCTGCTTTTTTTCTGGTTTGTTGGAAATAAGAGCTCTTGGCTTTGTCTTCCCAGGCTGGTTTTGAACTTTGACTTTGAGTAGCTAAGATTACAGGAATGAGCTACCAGTACTGGGCTTCATTCTCTCTCTTTTTTTTGTTGTTGGTTGTGGAGCTTGAACTCTGGGCCTAGCCGCTGTCCCTCAGCTCTTCAGCTCAGGGCAAGTGCTCTATCACTTCAACCACAGCGCCACTTCTGGTTTTTCTGGTGGTTTATTAGAGATAAGAGTCTCATGGACTTTCCTGCCCAGGCTGGCTTTGAACCACAATGCTCAGATCTCAGCCTCCTGAGTAGCTGAGCTTACAGGCCTGAGCCGCCGGTACCCGGCTGGGCTTCATTCTCTCTATCTTTAAATGCACAGTTCTGCAGCACTGAGTGAGTTTTCACTGTAGTGCAGCCATACCAGCTGTCCCCAAGTCTGTCTCAATTATTTTGACTCATTCCATCCTAAGGACCTTTGTGCCAAAGATTTCATTTAACATTGCAAACTGACGCAAGCACCTTAATCTGCCATGACCAAGAACAAGGCAGTGAGGGAAACGGGACCGTGAAACTGGTTTGGGGGCACCAGGGGCCTGGTCTCGCCAGCAACAGATGCCCCCACATCCCGTCAACAGGGTCCCTACTGACTTTGGGACAGGGGAGTTGGTGCAGAAAGTAAGGTAGCAAACTCTTGGAAGTCACAGACACCAGCATGTGAAACAGTCCTCGGATGAGTGATCTCCCTATCTGAGGAAGCGGAGGCAAGCAGCAAACACCACAATTCCTAGAAGCCTTTCTCTAACGCCAAGGCCCACGCAAGTGTGGGTTCTGATGAGCTCACATTTAGGGCGGAATCTTGGGTCTCTGTAATGCTAGAAGCAATGGATCTTTCTCAGGGCACTCCCATCTTTTTGAGAGTCAGAGAAGGGCATTACAGTTCTCTTTATCAGAATTCACTCTTTATCAGCTCAGCATTAATAGATTCCCACAGTTAACTTTCTTTTTTAGTCAGTCGTGGGGCTTGAATTCTGGGCCTAGGTGCTGTCCCTCTGCTCTTCAGCTCAAGGTGAGTGCGCTACTACTTGAACCATAGCGCCACTTCTGGTTTTCTGGTAGTTAATTGGAGATAAGAGTCTCACGGACTTTC